TTATTTTCATATAGTCGGACTTGAGTCCTGGAAATGGGAAGTACAATGCCTGCACTTTAAAGCAAGAGGCTTACGACTTACATAAGAACATAAGAACATAAGAATGTAGGAACACTGCAGAAGGCCTACTGGCCCATACGAGGCAGGTCCTTATCACAACGACATCTACCTAAAGCTACTCAAGAAATAACTCCCGTACCCCTTGACACCAATCAAACCCAGCCCCTCCCACTCATATATTTGTCCAGTCTCTTCTTAAAGCTACCCAAGGTCCTAGCCTCTATCACCCCACTGGGAAGACCGTTCCACGCATCTACAACTCTGTTAGAAAACCAGTACTTACCTATGTCCTTTCTAAATCTAAATTTATCCAACTTAAATCCATTATTCCTGGTTCTTACCTGGTTCGACACCCTCAGTACTTTATTAATGTCTCCCTTGTTTATGCCCGTCATCCACTTATACACTTCAATGATATCTCCCCTCATTCTACGCCTCTCCAGAGAGTGGAGATTTAAGGCTTTAAGTCTATCTTCATACGGGAGGTTCCTTACACAGTAAATCATTTTAGTCATTCTTCTCTGTATGTTCTCTAATGAGTCTATGTCCATCCTGTAGTAAGGGGACCAAAACTGAGCAGCATAATCCAAATGAGGCCTCACTAGTGATGTATAGAGCTGCAAAATAACTTTTGGACTTCTGTTACTTATACTTCTTGAGATAAATCCAAGTAATCTGTTGGCCTTGTTGCGCACACTAAGGCACTGCTGTCTTGGCTTTAGATTTCTGCCTACCATGACTCCCAAGTCTTTTTCACATTCTGTATGACCAAGCTCTACTTTTTATCACAGCTAACCTTAGACGCCATTGTCAATGAGAGCCAACTAGTTAACGAAAGAGTAAACGAGAGAGAGAACAAGATACAGAGTTGAAACAATGTAAGAACACAAACTGAACAGGTAGTGGACGATCACTTGGTCAGGTGAAATAAATGCCTATTAATATGTGTCTACTTTTAGTTCATTCACGTCCGTTTGTGTTTGTAAAACATTTACCTCAATATTTTTTTATTATAATAATAATTACCTCACAATACAAATACTCTTACATTGTGTACAAGTTGTACAAGTTAGTTCAGAATAAACAAACAGCAACACACCATTTTTAGAGTGAATGAAGATAATAATAATAATAATAATACAGTGAACCCCCGATTAACGATATTTTTTCATTCGAGAAGTATGTTCAGGTGCCAGTACTGACCGAATTTGTGCCCATAAGGAATATTGTGAAGTAGATTAGTCCATTTCAGACCCCCAAACATACACGTACAAACGCACTTACATAAATACACTTACATAATTGGTCGCATTGGGAAGTGATCGTTAAGCGGGGGTCCACTGTAATAATAATAATATTATTATTAATATTAATAATAATAATATTAATAATTATTATTATTTTTTTTTATTATCACACTGGCCGATTCCCACCAAGGCAGGGTGGTCTACCAAGGCAGGGTGACCCACCAAGGCAGGGTAACCCACCAAGGCAGGGTGACTCACCAAGGCATGGTGGCCCGAAAAAGAAAAACTTTCACCATCATTCACTCCATCACTGTCTTGCCAGAAGGGTGCTTTACACTACAGTTTTTAAACTGCAACATTAACACCCCTCCTTCAGAGTGCAGGCACTGTACTTCCCATCTCCAGGACTCAAGTCCGGCCTGCCGGTTTCCCTGAACCCCTTCATAAATGTTACTTTGCTCACACTCCATTTATGAAGGGGTTCAGGGAAACCGGCAGGCCGGACTTGAGTCCTGGAGATGGGAAGTACAGTGTCTGCACTCTGAAGGAGGGGTGTTAATGTTGCAGTTTAAAAACTGTAGTTTAAAGCACCCTTCTGGCAAGACAGTGATGGAGTGAATGATGGTGAAAGTTTTTCTTTTTCGGGCCACCCTGCCTTGGTGGGAATCGGCCAGTGTGATAATAAAAAAAATAATAATAATAATAATAATTATTATTATTATTATTATTATTTATTATAAAAAGCACTAAACCCACAAGGGTCGTAAATTGCTATACATAGAGTAAAGGCATATGAAAATAATATTTTTCTACAGTTACCCCCTGTTGCGAATAAGAAATTTTTTAAAGAACTTGAGAATGTGGCCTGTTACCATTTATTTCTTATGCAACAAGATTTTTTGATCCGAGTTCTTTAAAGGTATTTTAGAGTCTAGGGGAAATAATTTCAACTGGGAAACTCCATAGAATAATATTCAAATTTATTAAAGTATTTAAATACAATACTTTATCTTCTCTTTGTAGTTAATGTAACTTAATACTTTGTACAATAAATTTACAATATACATTTAGTTCAAAATCATGGAAATGTCACATTAATAAGGAAGTTTAATTATTCTTCCTGTAATTAAGTCTTCATTAACATTTACGTCTTTGTCTTAACAAGACTGTAGACCCAAAATACAAAAGGTACAAGATTTGGCAAGACCTTTGAATCTGGCCGTAAAGTATCTCTATGGATTACTGAACTGACCAAGAATATAAATATCAAAAGAGTCTTTCAGAGCAATTAGGAACAAACTGAGTCAGCTCTAGAGTCCAATTCTCAAAACCATTCAAACTGTACACCGTAAGAGCCAATATACGATCAGTTGTCAGGGCTAGAGCAGGGAGCGGACTGACTCCTTGCCAGTCTGTTGACGCGTTGTCAGGTTGGATCAGCTGACCCAAATGTCAGCCAGCCGGACATAAACAATTGAACAATTCACCGGATAGTTCCGAGACTTAAACTCTGTATACACAAGAAATCCTACCTAACAATAATAATAAAATAATAGTAATAATACCAAAATAGTGATAACAAAATAGTGATAATACCATGGTATTTTTCATATACAGTGGACCCCCGCATACCGTTGGCATCACATAACGTTAAATCCGCATACCGATACATTTTATCACTAAAATTTTGCCTCGCATACCGCTAAAAAACCCGCTCAACACTATTCGTCTGAGACGTGTCTAATGTGCGGCCTGAGCCAGCCTCACATGTTCCGCCGGTGGCATTGTTTACAAGCCAGCCTCCGCGGTAACATCCAAGCATACAATCAGAACATTTTGTATTATTACAGTGTTTTTGGTGATTTTATCTGCAAAATAAGTGACCATGGGCCCCAAGAAAGCTTCTAGTGCCAACCCTGTGGTAAAAAGGGTGAGAAATATTATCAAAATACTGTGGTACCATGGTCAACTGCTGATGCTGCTGCTGCTGTAGCACTGTCAGCTGCTGCTGCTGCTGCTGCTGTAGCACTGTCAGCTGCTGCTGCTGCTGTAGCACCGTCTGCTGCTGCTGTAGCATCGTCTGCTGCTGCTGTAGCATCGTCTGCTGCTGCTGTAGCACTGTCAGCTGCTGCTGCTGTAGCACTGTCAACTGCTGCTGCTGCTGTAGCACCGTCAGCTGCTGCTGTACTACCATCAGCTGCTGCTGCTGCTGTACCACCGTCAGCTGCTGCTGCTGCTGTAGTACCGTCTGCTGCTGCTGTAGCATCGTCTGCTGCTGCTGTAGCACTGTCAGCTGCTGCTGCTGCTGTAGCACTGTCAGCTGCTGCTGCTGCTGTAGCATCATCTGCTGCTGCTGTAGCATCATCTGCTGCTGCTGTAGCATCGTCTGCTGCTGCTGTAGCACTGTCAGCTGCTGCTGCTGCTGTACCACCGTCAGCTGCTGCTGCTGCTGCTGCTGTAGTACCGTCTGCTGCTGCTGTAGCATCGTCTACTGCTGCTGTAGCATCGTCTGCTGCTGCTGTAGCACTGTCAGCTGCTGCTGTAGTACCGTCTGCTGCTGCTGTAACATCATCTGCTGCTGCTGTAGCATTGTCTGCTGCTGCTGTAGCACTGTCAGCTGCTGCTGTAGCACTGTCAGCTGCTGCTGCTGCTGCTGCTGTAGCACCGTTGTTAGTGTGGCTTATTGAGAATACCAAGAAACAATTAACCCCAGAGGGTTAGCCACCCAGGATAACCCAAAAAAGTCAGTGTCATCGAAGACTGTCTAACTTATTTCCATTGGGGTCCTTAATCTTGTCTCCCAGGATGCAACCCACACCAGTCGACTAACACCCAGGTGAACAGGGAAAAACGCCTGGAAAATAGTGCTCATATTGGTGAGTTTAAAGCCAGCAAAGGTTGGTTTGAGAGATTTAAGAATCGTAGTGACATACACAGTGTGATAAGGCCTGTTCTGGAAGAAAATGCCAAACAGGACCTACAGTACTCAGGAGGAAAAGGCACTCCCAGGGCACAGTGTCTCATCAGTCATTGCTGCATCTTCAATAAAGGTAAGTGTCATTTATTCTTCATTTAGTAGAGTAGTACATGCACAATATATATTGTGCATGTACTACTCTACTATTGTGCATGTATCCTTCTCTTTGTGTGTAGGAAAATGTATATTTCATGTGGTAAATTTTTTTTTTCATACTTTTGGGTGTCTTGCACGGATTAATTTGATTTCCATTATTTCTTATGGGGAAAATTCATTCGCATAATGATAATTTCGCATAACAATGAGCTCTCAGGAACCGATTAATATCATTATGCGGGGGTCCACTGTATATATATATATATATATTATATATATGTATATATATATATTTATATATATATATATATATATATATATATATAAATTATATATATATATATATATATTTATATATATATATATATATATATATATATATATATATATATATATATATATATATATATATATATATATATATATATATATATATATATATTATATATATTTATATATACGCACACACACAAACACACACACACACATATAGTATATATATGTATCTTCTATATATACAATAGAGAACAATATACTCTAATTGTTCAGTGGATAATTGACGTTCTGTTCTTGTGCTTGTTCTCGTTCTTGTTGTTGTCATCTTGTTATTGTTCTTGCAGACACAGAGAGCGTTCTCCAGGGGGGACCTCAAGCCAGGGTTGAACGTTCTATCTCAGAAGATCATCAAGGACTACAAGAACGACATTGTGAGTTTCTTCCGCTGCTGCAATTGATCTTTTTAATAATAATAATAATAAGCATTGGGTTCCTGGTCACTATAAACAGTTGTAGCTATAATAAGTGTGCTTGATAGACTACCATCTATTATCATCGTTTGCAACTCAAAACACACACACACACACACACACACACACGTGTGTGTACTGCCGTGTACAACCCCAGTGTAAATGCACATTTTGAAGAATTTGCTATTATGTAAATGTGTAATTTGAGTGTAAATGTGTAAATCTTTCTGCTTTCAACACACTGGCCATATCCCACCGAGGCGGGGGTGGACCACCGAGGCGGGTTGGCCTAAAAGGAAAAACAAAAGTTTTTCCTTTTACATTTAACAATATATACAGGAGAAGGGGTTACTATCCCCTTGCTCCTGGCATTTTAGTCGCCTCTTACAACACGCATGGCTTATGGAGGAAGAATTCTGTTCCACTTCCCCATGGAGGTAAGAGGAAATAAACAAGAACAAGAACTAGAAAGAAAATAGAAGAAAACCCAGAGGGGTGTGTATATATATATGCTTGTACATGTATGTGTAGTGTGACCTAAGTGTAAGTAGAAGTAGCAAGACGTACCTGAAATCTTGCATGTTTATGAGACAGAAAAAAAGACACCAGCAATCCTACCATCATGTAAAACAATTACAGGCTTTCGTTGTACACTCACTTGGCAGGACGGTAGTACCTCCCTGGGCGGTTGCTGTCTACCAACCTACTACCTAGAAATGATACACAAATAACCCGCACATAAAAGAGAGAAGCTTATGACGACGTTTCGGTCTGACTTGGACCATTGACAAAGTCACACTAACCAGAGGTGGAGCAGGACGGCTATATATAGGCAGGAAAAGGTGGTGGTAGTAGTAGTACAAGAATTGTATAATACCGACCACCTCTTCCTGCCTATATATAGCCGTCCTGCTCCACCTCTGGTTAGTGTGACTTTGTCAATGGTCCAAGTCGGACCGAAACGTCGTCGTAAGCTTCTCTCTTTTATGTGCGGGTTATTTGCGTATCGTTCCAGTCACGGTATTGTGCCTTTTTGTTATTTATTTATCTAGAAATGTGTAAATATATATGTAAATATGTAAATTACTGAATAAATGTGTTTGTTAATATTTAAATATGTAAATGAGAGTGTAAACATATAAATGAGTGTGTAAATGAGTGTAAATAAGAATGTAAACATGTAAATGGTAGTGTAAATATATAAACGAGAGTAAATGTGTAAATAAAGTGTAAATATGTAAATAAAGGTGTAAATATTAAATAAGAGTGTATATTGATTTACAGTATTATTTACAGGGTGGATTGAAACAGAAATTGTCAGAGTTCCATCTTCCATTGCCTTGGATTGAACGCTTGGACCTGACCCTTCCACCAGCACCTCTGGCCCCGGAGCTGGATGTTGAGGTGTGTTACTACTGCTTGGAATAGTCTGGGGGTGTGTTAGGATAGGCCTAGGATAGTAAGCTTGGACCTAACCCTTCCACCTCAGCATCCAGCTCCTGGCCCAGGAGCTGGATGCTGAGGTGTGTTACTGCCTGGGATACTCTCTGTTGTGTTAAGATAGGTCTGGGATAGTTTGTGGTGTGTTAAGATAGGTCTGGGATAGTCTGTGGTGTGTTAAGATAGGTCTGGGATAGTCTGTGGTGTGTTAAGATAGGTCTGGGATAGTCTGTGGTGTGTTAAGATAGGTCTGGGATAGTCTGTGGTGTGTTAAGATAGGTCTGGGATAGTCTGTGGTGTGTTAAGATAGGTCTGGGATAGTCTGTGGTGTGTTAAGATAGGTCTGGGATAGTCTGTGGTGTGTTAAGATAGGTCTGGGATAGTCTGTGGTGTGTTAAGATAGGTCTGGGATAGTCTGTGGTGTGTTAAGATAGGTCTGGGATAGTCTGTGGTGTGTTAAGATAGGTCTGGAATAGTCTGTGGTGTGTTAAGATAGGTCTGGAATAGTCTGTGGTGTGTTAAGATAGGTCTGGGATAATCTGTGGTGTGTTAAGATAGGTCTGGGATAGTCTGTGGTGTGTTAAGATAGGTCTGGGGTAGTCTGTGGTGTGTTAAGATAGGTCTGGGATAGTCTGTGGTGTGTTAAGATAGGTCTGGGATAGTCTGTGGTGTGTTAAGATAGGTCTGGGATAGTCTGTGGTGTGTTAAGATAGGTCTGGAATAGTCTGTGGTGTGTTAAGATAGGTCTGGAATAGTCTGTGGTGTGTTAAGATAGGTCTGGGATAATTTGTGGTGTGTTAAGATAGGTCTGGGATAGTCTGTGGTATGTTAAGATAGGTCTGGGATAGTCTGTGGTGTGTTAAGATAGGTCTGGGATAATTTGTGGTGTGTTAAGATAGGTCTGGGATAGTTTGTGGTGTGTAAAGATAGGTCTCGGGTAGTCTGTGGTGTGTTAGGATAGGTCTGGGATAGTCTGTGTTATGTCAGGGTGGGTCTGGGATAGTCTGTGTTGTGTTAGGATAGGTCTGGGGTAGTCTGTGTTGTGTTAGGATAAGTCTGGGATAGTCTGTGTTGTGTTAGGATAAGTCTGGGATAGTCTATAGTGTGTTAGGATAGTCGGTAAATACCGAATTACAGAAAATATCAACCTGGATGAGGACCAACAAACTTACTCTAAACATTGACAAAACTTACTGCATTCAGTTTGGTAACAGAGCTGCAGATGTCCCTCTTAACATAATGATAAATGGATCACCTATCACAAAACTCACAGAGGGAAAATTCTTAGGAATCCACCTTGATAATAGACTCAAATTTCAAACACATATACAACAAATTTCCAAAAAAATTTCCAAGACCGTAGACATACTATCGAAGATACGGTACTATGTTCCACAGTCAGCACTCCTGGCCCTATATCACTCACTTATTTACCCCTATCTCACCTATGGAATTTGTGCATGGGGCTCAACAACAACTAACCATCTCAGACCACTAATTACCCAACAAAAGGCTGCAGTTAGAATGATAACAAATTCTCACTACAGGCAGCACACTCCACCAATATTCAATACACTAAACCTACTCACCATACAAAACATCCATACTTATTACTGCACCTATTACATACATAGAACACTTAACTCTGATATTAACCCTCCCCTCAAACATCTCCTTACCAACCTCAACAGAACACATGATCATAACACAAGGCACAGATCACTCTTTGATGTTCCTCGTGTCCATCTCACACTATGCAAAAACTCAATGCACATAAAAGGCCCTAAAATCTGGAATTCATTACCTGTGAATATAAGAGAAACACTGTCTGTTTATAAATTCAAGTCTCTTCTCAAAAATCACTTACTCACCCACAACTAAATAAATACTGAATAATTGTATCTTATAAATGTTTAACCTGTGACCCAATTAAACTTTGTTGTTTTTAATTACATTACCTAACAGAATACTCCATTCTACTGATTACACAGCAACACAGTAAATGACCGTATGACCTGTCTTTGTAATACTCACTTGTACTAAATTGTTATCTGTTTACAATAATTTTTGTACCACTGAATATATCATTGCTTAGTTAATCTTAAGTTAATTTTAAGCCTGCCCATAATGTTATGTATACAAGGGGCTTTGGCATGTTGCACTTTAAAAATTGTATTCCTTGTACTTCTCTGTATCATGTTCAAATAAATAAATAAATAAAATAGGTCTGGGATAGTATGCAAGTCACCATTCTGACCCCAGACTAATGTTGCACACATTGCAGCTGGTGGAGCACGGACAGCGGAGGGAGCGGCAGATGAAGGGTCGCAACAAGGACTTCAGTCTAGAGGATGACCCGGTCCACAACGACTTCAAGCGTGAGATGTTGTTCTACAGGCAGGCCCAGGCGGCGGCCATGGCCGGCCTGCAACGACTGGATGAGCTAGGCCTTCCTGGCCTCCGTCCAGATGACTACTTTGCACAGATGGCCAAGAGTGATGAGCACATGCAGAAGGTTTGTATAGCTCCTGGTCCTTGGTCATTCTGTGAGGGACGCCAAGTCGTTCCTCAGGATATTGTGTGTTGTTCAGATACAGCATTTCACACCTACAGTACGTTAACATTCTCTCTTGTCCTTCAGAGTACAAGTACTGTACTACCCTCCTTTGGTACTGTAACATTCTCACTCATCCTTCAGAGTACTAGTACTGTACTACCATCCTTCAGTACTGCAACATTCTCACTCAGCCTTCACAGTACAAGTACTATACTACCCTCCTTTAGTACTGCAACATTCTCACTCAGCCTTCACAGTACAAGTACTGTACTACCCTCCTTTAGTATTGTAATATTCTCACTCATCCTTCACAGTATAGGTATTGTACTACCCACCTCCAGTACTGAAACATTTTCACTCAGTCTTCAGAGTACAGGTACTGTACTACCCACCTCCAGTACTGTAACATTCTCACTCATTCTTCAGAGTACAGGTACTGTTGTTCACCATTATTCCCTGTTGTTCCCCATTGTTCCCCTTGCTCACTGTCATTCCCTGTTGTTCCCCTTGTTCACCATCGTTCCACTCCCCTTTTTCACAGTCATTTCCTCATCCCCATTGTTCTCAGTTCCTCCTTGTTCATAGTCATTCCCTGGTCACCGTCATCCCCTGCTCCACATTGTTCAGAGCCATTCCCTGTTGTTCACCATCCTCCCCTGTTGTTCACCATCATTCCCCCTCATTCATTGTCATCCTGTTGTTCACTGTTGTTCTCTGTTCGCTGTCGTTACGTCATTCCCTCTTGTTCACCAACATTCCCTGTAATCCTCCCTCGTTCACTGTCATTTCCCCTTATTTCATGTTGTTCCCCCTCATTCACTGTTGTTACCCCTTGTTCACCATCATTCCCTGTCATCCCCTTGTTCACCCTGGCTCCTAGTTGTTTCCCCTCATTCACTGTCATTTCCTGTTGTTGTCTCTTGTTTACCGTTGTTCCCAGTCATTCCTTTTGTTGACACTCTTGTCTCGCTCCTTGTTCACCATTATTTCCTGTTGTTCTCCTCATTCACCATTGTTCCCTGTTTGCTGTCATCCCCCCTCATTCACCATCGTTCCCCGTCATTCCTCTTGTTAACACTCGTCCAGAACCTTGTTCACCATCATTTCCTGCTGCTCTCATTCTCTGTCAGCTCCTTAATTCACCATTGTTTCCTGTCATCCCTTTTGTTCACCCTCATTCCCTGTTTCCCTCGTTCACCATCATTCACTGTTGTTTCCTTGTTCACCATCGTTCCTTTTCATCCCCCTCTTTCACCATCATTCCTTGTCGTCCCCCTCGTTCACCATCATTACGTATTGTCCCCCTTGTTCACCGTCATTCCCTGTATCCCTCTCATTCACCCTCATTCCCTGTTGTCCCCTCATTGTTCCCTGTTTGCTGTCATCCCCCCTCATTCACCATCGTTCCCCGTCATTCCTCTTGTTAACACTCATCCAGAACCTTGTTCACCATCATTTCCTGCTGCTCTCATTCTCTGTCAGCTCCTTAATTCACCATTGTTTCCTGTCATCCCTTTTGTTCACCCTCATTCCCTGTTCCCTCGTTCACCATCATTCACTGTTGTTTCCTTGTTCACCATCGTTCCTTTTCATCCCCCTCTTTCACCATCATTCCTTGTCGTCCCCCTCGTTCACCATCATTACGTATTGTCCCCCTTGTTCACCGTCATTCCCTGTATCCCTCTCATTCACCCTCATTCCCTGTTGTCCCCTCATTCACCCACATTCCATGTCGTCCCCCTCGTTCACCATCATTCTCCAACATTCACTCCCCCGTCTCGCCCTGGGCAGGTGCGTCGTCGACTGATCCAGAAGCAGATTGGGCAGCAGATCAGCGAGCGCGTCAGGAAGATCCGTGAGATCAAGAAGTTTGGCAAGAAGGTGCAGGTGGAGGTAGAGCAGCGCAAGCACAAGGAGAAGCGAGAGATGCTGGAGAAGATTAAGAAGTTCAGGAAGGTCAGTTGAACTTTCCAGTCCACCTTTAAGGTCCAGGGACATAAAGGTCAGAATAGCATGACCTGAGTAGGGAAATATTCTGGTACAGTGACAATAAATTATGATGACTTTTAGGCTTGACTTGTTCCATTAACTGGTTATACCAGTAGTAATAGTTGTGGTGGTAGTAGAGTAGTAATAGTGGTACTAACAGTAGTAGTAATAGTAGTGGTAAGAGTAGCAGTATACAGGTAGTAGGTTGGTAGACAGCAACCGCCCAGGGAGGTACTACCGTTCTGCCAAGTGAGTGTAAAACAAAAGCCTGTAATTGTTTTACATGATGGTAGGATTGCTGGTGTCCATTTTTCTGTCTCATAAACATGCCAGGTTTCAGGTACGTCTTGCTACTTCTACTTACACTTAGGTCACACTACACATACATGTACAAGCATATATATACACACCCCTCTGGGTTTCTTCTATTTTCTTACTAGTTCTTGTTCTTGTTTATTTCCTCTTACCTCCATGGGGAAGTGGAACAGAATTCTTCCTCTGTAAGCCATGCATGTTGTAAGAGGCGACTAAAATGCCGGGAGCAAGGGGATAGTAACCCCTTCTTCTGTATATATTACTAAATGAAAAAGGAGAAACTTTTGTTTTTCATTTTGGGCCACCCTGCCTCGGTGGGCCACCCTGCCTCGGTGGGCCACCCTGCCTCGGTGGGCTGCCCCGCCTCGATGGGCCACCCCGCGTTGGTGGGCCATCCCGCCTTGGTGGGCCGCCCCGCCTTGGTGGGCCACCCCGCCTCGGTGGGATACGGCCGGTGTGTTGAAAGAAAGAAGAGTAGCAGTAGTGGTAGTAGTGTTGCTAGTATTATAGTAGTACTAGTACTAACAGTAGTATTATTGGTAGTAGGTAGTATTAGTTGTAGTAGTAGCCATAGTAGTAGTAGTAGTAGTAATAGTAGTAGTAATAGTTATATTAGTAGTAGTAATAGTAGTTGTAGTAATAGTAATTGTAGTAGTAGTAATAGTTGTAGTAGTAGTAATAGTTGTAGTAGTAGTAATAGTTGTAGTAGTAGTAATAGTTGTAGTAGCAGTAATAGTAGCTGTAGTAGTGGTAGTCGTAATAGCATTAATTGTATTAGTAGTAGTAGCAGTGGTGGTGGTAGTTGTAGTATTAGCTGACTGTATATAGTGGAACTTTATAAGAGAACTGACTCTATATAGTGGAACTTTATAATCTTCTCCCAAGAATTCAATTATTTTCGCCCAGATTTCCCCAAAATAAATTTTTTTCGAAATATCCCAGGAAATCAGCCGTTCATTTACCCGATTCGTCGTTGCAGACTTATGAATGGACTTTCTGCTGTGTTTCAGGGCAAGACTGACACCATAGATTTCCTGGAGGACCACCAGGGACCACTGAGGGAACGAACCACCAACGGGACCACCAGCAAGACCACCAAACAGTAAGTTTGATTTTTGTCCCATACACGAGATTCCTCCAGTCTTCTGGGGTCTACTGGAGTCTACTTCTACCTGTAGTTCACTTGTACCTGTAGTCTACCTCTACCTGGAGTCTACTTGGAGTCTACTGGGGTCTAGTGGGTTCTACCTGGGGTCTAGTGGGGTTTACCTGGGGTCTAGTGGGGTTTACCTGCGGTCTACTAGGGTCTGCCTGTATCTGCAGTCTATCTGTTGTTCACCTGTACTTGGAGTCTCCCTGTAGTCTCTCTGGAGTCTTCGTGGAGTCTACCTGAAGTCTACCTGAGGTCTACAGGGGTCTACCTGGGGGTCTACTTGTACCTGGAGGTAGTTCTGGGGGCCAACATCCCCTGTATGCCTCGTTGACTGCTAGGCCTATGGGGGGGGGTGTCAGGGACTGACTGTGTGTGTGTCCAGCTCTCTCTTGAAGACAAGAAGGTGGTCTTGAAAACAACCAGATGATTTTGCAGACAACCAGGTAGTCTTGAAGACAACCAGGTGATCTTGAAGACAAGTAGGTGGTCTTGAAGACAACCAGGTGTTTTGAAGACAACCAGGGGTCTTGAAGACAACCAGGTGTCTTGAAGACAACCAGGTAGTCTTGAAGACAACCAGGTGTTTTGAAGACAACCAGGGGTCTTGAAGACAACCAGGGGTCTTGAAGACAACCAGGTGGTCTTGAAGACAACCAGGTGTTTTGAAGACAACCAGGGGTCTTGAAGACAACCAGGGGTCTTGAAGACAACCAGGTAGTCTTGAAGACAACCAGGTGTCTTGAAGACAACCAGGTGTCTTGAAGACAACCAGGTGTCTTGAAGACAACCAGGTAGTCTTGAAGACAACCAGGTGTTTTGAAGACAACCAGGGGTCTTGAAGACAACCAGATAGTCTTGAAGACAACCAGGGGTCTTGAAGACAACCAGATAGTCTTGAAGACAACCAGGTGTCTTGAAGACAACCAGGTAGTCTTGAAGACAACCAGGTGTCTTGAAGACAACCATGTGTCTTGAAGACAACCAGGGGTCTTGAAGACAACCAGGTGTCTTGGCAACCAGAAGTCTTGAAGACAACCAGGGGTTTTGAAGACAACCAGATAGTCTTGAAGACAACCAGGTGTCTTGAAGACAACCAGGTAGTCTTGAAGACAACCAGGTAGTCTTGAAGACAACCAGGTGTCTTGAAGACAACCATGTGTCTTGAAGACAACCAGGGGTCTTGAAGACAACCAGGTAGTCTTGAAGACAACCAGGTGTCTTGAAGACAACCAGGTGTCTTGAAGACAACCAGGTAGTCTTGAAGACAACCAGGTGTTTTGAAGACAACCAGAGGTCTTGAAGACAACCAGATAGTCTTGAAGACAACCAGGGGTCTTGAAGACAACCAGATAGTCTTGAAGACAACCAGGTGTCTTGAAGACAACCAGGTAGTCTTGAAGACAACCAGGTGTCTTGAAGACAACCAGGGGTCTTGAAGACAACCAGGTGTCTTGAAGACAACCATGTGCCTTGAAGACAACCAGGGGTCTTGAAGACAACCAGGTAGTCTTGAAGACAACCAGGTAGTCTTGAAGACAACCAGGTGTTTTGAAGACAACCAGGTGTTTTGAAGACAACCAGGTGTCTTGAAGACAACCAGGGGTTTTGAAGACAACCAGAAGTCTTGAAGACAACCAGGGGTTTTGAAGACAACCAGAAGTCTTGAAGACAACCAGGGGTTTTGAAGACAACCAGAAGTCTTGAAGACAACCAGAAGTCTTGAAGACAACCAGGGGTCTTGAAGACAACCAGGGGTTTTGAAGACCTTCACCAGCAATGAAGGTTCACTGTACATTTTGTAGCAGCTTGACAGTACGAACCATCAAAACTAGGGACGCCAAGACCATGATGATTCTCTTCAAATTGCCTGTTCTCTCTAGGCTGGAATACTGCTGTACACTAACTGTCTCCTTTAAGGCAGGGGAAATTGCTGACCTGGAGAGTGTACAGAGAGCTTTCACTGCACGTACAGTAGGAGCCCTGTATCCACGGGTCCATTATCGGCTATTTCACTTATCCATGGTTTACCTTGGCCCAAAAACAACCCCTAGACTGTCGCAACCCCCAATCCTGAGGTGTCTCCTGGTGTCTCAAAATTTAAAAAAAAATTATTTTTTATGAAATGATAGAGAATCTTTTCCCAATTGTAATGACACCAAAATAACGAAATTTGATGGAAAACTGACGGAATTACGCTCTCGCGAAGTTAGCGACCTCAGCGATATTTACAAATTGGCGATTTCGCCCACTGAGCCCTATTTTTGGCTAACTCCATTGTTCCAGTCGACCAAATTCATAGCTATTTCTTTAGAACTCCGTTTTTTCTATCAACTGAGTACAAGAAACCGCCCATTTACCAATTTCAACTACCCAATAATGTGGTCAGAAATTTTCAATTTGGCCAATTTCACGAAAATTAAAAAATATGACAATTTCAAAATAGGATCCAGAATGAACAATGCAGACATTCCTGGCTCTAAAATACCATTTTCTTTGTTCATCAGTCATGTCTCCAGGCCCCTCTGATATTACTCTTGCTTTCTATTTTGAATTTTTATTCAAACAAAATATAGAAGATTTACTGTTATGCAGACTACTGCAATATTGTAATAATTGTATAAATAATGTCAACCCATTCATGACTGCATATTAGAATGGCTAGTTGGACATTTATTGGACAATGACATCATTTGTTTACTTTTGAACATCGGCAAAAATCAAACATTTCCCCTACTTTGAGCTCCATTTCTAGGTTCTTTTTTAGTAAAATCAATCAAAATCTCCTCTATTTCTATAATATGTTTTCCATTCTATCAAATGAGACCAAGAAAACGAGAAAACAACCATAAATACTATATGAAAATAGACCACAAAGTCGGCATTTTAATTATAAAAACGGTCAAGTTTTTTTTGTTTCTCATTATGCACTGCGTGCTCCAGGATTTTTTTTATATGGTGCACACTGACCACACAGACACATTCTCTCACATGTGGGCCTACCAGCTTTCTCCTGCTTGATTTGAAGCCGCTAGAATTTATGAGTATATATACGTCAAACACGGTATCTCGTAAGACGTATATATACGACCGAAACAGTCAAAGGGTTAATAATGGCCACAAAACACAAAAGTAGTGATGGTGGTCTTAGTTTAGCTTAGTAATAACCACAACACACAAAAGTAGTAATGGTGGTCTTAGTTTAGCTTAACCCTTTCAGGGTCCAAGGCCCAAATCTGGAGTCACGCACCAGTGTCCAAGAATTTTCAAAAAAAAAAATTGTTATTTTTTCTTATGAAATCGTAGAGAATCTTTTTGTGAAGGTAATAAAACAAAAAGTACGAAAATTGGTGGAAAATTGACGAAATTATGCTCTCGCGAATTTTGATGTGTCAGCGATATTTACGAATCGGAGATTTTGCCGACTTTGACTCCCATTTTAGGCCAATTACATTATTCCAATCAACCAAATTCTTAGCTATTTCACTAGTATTACTTTATTCTATCGATTGAGCACAAGAAATTGCCAAGTCAACTGTTTCAACTACAAAATAAAGTGATCGGAAATTGTTAATTTGGCCAATTTAACACAAAGTTCAAAATATTCCAATTTCAAAATAGGGTCCAGAATGAACAATGTAGGCATTCCTGGCACTAAACTAACATTTCCTCTGTTCATTAGTTATGTTTTGAGGCTTTACAAATAAATTCCATTTTGATTTTTTATTCACATAATGAATTTTTATTCACACCAAAAAATAGAAGATTTACTGTTATGCAATACTGTAATAATTGTATAAATATCATCACCATATTTGTGAATGTATATTAGACCCACCAGCTGACGTGTATTAGATGTGTGAGGTCGTTTGTTTACTCTTGAATATCGGCAAAAATTTAACATTTCCGCTACTTTGAGCTCAGTTTCAAGCCATTTCCAATGCTAAAACCAATCAAAATCATCTCTATTTCTGTAATATGTCTTCCATTCTATCAAATGAGACCAAGAAATCGCAAATACAACTATAAAAAACATACGAAAAAACACTGCAAAGTTGCTGTTTTAATCGAAAAATCATGATTTCATTTTTTTTCTCTCATTATACACAGTGTGCTGCAGGATGTGTTTTATGTGGTGCACACATACCACATAGATGTATTCTCTCATATCTAGGCCCAAATGTACCACTCACAGTTTATCAGAGTGAGCTGAGCTCATGGCGTAGATCTACGGTTTGGACCCTGAACGTAAAGCCGTAGATCTACGGGACGGACCCTGAAAGGGTTAATAACCACAGCACTCAAAAGTAGTGATGGTGGTCTTAGTTTAGCTTAATAATAACCACAACACACAAAAGTAGTGATGGTGGTCTTAGTTTAGCTTAATAATAACCACAGCACACAAAAGTAGTGATGGTGGTCTTAGTTTAGCTTAATAATGACCCAAAAATAGTGATGGTGATCTTAATTTAACTTAATAATGGCCACAAAACACAAAAGTAGTGATGGTTGCAGTTTTTCAAGGTGAAGTGTTGCCCATCAGTGGAAAAGTGATATTTCTACACTTATTGTGAATAATTAATCAATTATGTTTCATCATAGCTATGTATGTAAACCAAAACAACTTACAGTGGAACTCCGGTTTTCTCACCATACCACGGGCGGGGATAGAACCCGCGGTCAGAGAGTCTCAAAACTCCAGACCGTCGTGTTAGCCACTGGACCAGCTAGCCACAATAAGATTCGTCCAATTAGGTATATTTCTACACCATAGGAATGTTAGCATAGGCACCACTGTGACCACAAATGCAAGTTTTTACAGACGAATCTCCATTTGTGGTCACAGTGGTGGCCTATGCTAAGCTTCCTATGGTGTAGAAATATACCTAGTTGGACAAATCTTATTGTGGCTAGCTGGTCTAGTGGCTAACGCGACGGTCTGGAGTTTTGAG